TCCCCAGGGCGACTCGTTGGCCACCCAACGCCGACGCCCAGCACGGCCTGAAGCGGTGCCGGCACGCGCGCGCCATGGCAACGCCGAGCGGCCCCGCCCCGGCGCCGCGCCTGCCCTGAGCTCGCCCCGCCCGCCCCGCCCTGCGCCGCCGCCCCTCACCCGCCAGCGCCGCGCCCGACCCCGCGGGGCCACCATGATCCCGCAATGATGATGGCCCGCAAGCAAGATGGCCGCACGCCCACCTACAACGTCAGCGTGGTGGGCTTGTCCGGCACCGAGAAGGAGAAGGGCCAGTGCGGCGTCGGCAAATCGTGCCTGTGCAACCGCTTCGTGCGGCCCAGCGCCGACGACTTCCACTTGGAGCACACGTCCGTGCTCAGCACCAGTGACTTTGGGGGCAGGGTGGTCAACAATGACCACTTCCTCTACTGGGGCGAGGTGGCGCGGCCGCTGGAGGAGTGCGTGGAGTGCCGCATCCACGTGGTGGAGCAGACGGAGTTCATCGACGACCAAACCTTCCAACCTCACCGCAGCACGGCGCTGCAGCCCTACATCAAGAGGGCGGCGGCCACCAAGCTGGCGTCGGCGGAGAAGCTCATGTATTTCTGCACCGACCAGCTGGGCCTGGAGCAGGACTTTGAGCAGAAGCAGATGCCCGACGGCAAGCTGCCGGTGGACGGCTTCCTGCTGTGCGTGGACGTGAGCCGCGGCATGAACCGCAACTTCGACGAGCAGCTCAAGTTCGTGTCCAACCTCTACAACCAACTGGCCAAAACCAAGAAGCCGGTGGTGGTGGTGCTCACCAAGTGCGACGAGGGCGTGGAGCGTTACATCCGCGACGCCCACGCCTTCGCGCTCGGCAAGAAGAACCTGCAGGTGGTGGAGACGTCGGCGCGCTCCAACGTCAACGTGGAGCTGGCCTTCGGCACGCTGGTGCAGCTGGTGGACAAGAGCCGCGGCAAGGCCAAGATCATCCCCTACTTCGAGGCGCTCAAGCAGCAGAGCCAGCAGATCGCCGCCGCCAAGGACAAGTACGAGTGGCTGGTGAGCCGCATCGTCAAGAGCCACCACGAGGCCTGGGCCAACGTGAGCCGCAAGATGCAGCCGGCGCCCGAGTACCAGGACTACGTCTACCTGGAGGGCACCTCCAAGGCCAAGAAGCTCTTCCTGCAGCACGTGCAGCGCCTCAAGCAGGAGCACGTGGAGCGGCGCCGCAAGCTCTACCTGGCCAAGCTGCCGCTGGCGCTGGACGCCCTCGTGCCGGACCTGGACGAGATCGACCACTTGAGCCGCGCCAAGGCCGAGAAGCTGCTGGAGGCCAAGCCCGACTTCCTCAAGTGGTTCGTGGTGCTGGAGGAGACGCCGTGGGACGCCACGAGCCACGTGGACAACGTGGACAACGAGCGCATCCCCTTCGACCTGCTGGAGACGCCGGCGGCCGAGCAGCTCTACGAGGCTCACCTGGAGAAGCTGCGCGACGAGCGCAAGCGCGCCGAGATGCGCCGGGCGTTCCGCGAGAACCTGGAGAGCTCGCCCTTCGTCACGCCCGGCAAGCCCTGGGAGGAGGCGCGCAGCTTCATCATGAACGAGGATTTCTACCTGTGGCTGGAGGAGCCCGTCTACATGGACATCTACGGCAAGCACCAGAAGCAGCTGATCGACAGGGCCAAGGAGGATTTCCAGGAGCTGCTCTTGGAGTACTCGGAGCTGTTCTACGAGCTGGAGCTGGACGCCAAGCCCAGCAAGGAGAAGATGGGCGTCATCCAGGAGGTGCTGGGCGAGGAGCAGCGGTTCAAGGCGCTGCAGAAGCTGCAGGCCGAGCGCGACGCGCTCATCCTCAAGCACATCCACTTCGTCTACCACCCCACCAAGGAGACGTGCCCCAGCTGCGGCGGCTGCGCCGACGCCCGCGTGGAGCAGCTGCTGGGCTCGCGCTTCATCCGCCAGCACCGCAACCCCCTGGCCGACCCCAACGTCGACCGCCTCAACCTGGTGATCCTCGGCAAGGACGGGCTGGCGCGCGAGCTGGCCAACGAGATCCGCGCGCTCTGCACCAGCGACGACAAGTACGTCATCGAGGGCAAGATGTACGAGCTGGCGCTGCGGCCCATCGAGGGCAACGTGCGGCTGCCGGTCAACGCCTTCCAGACGCCCACCTTCCAACCCCACGGCTGCCTGTGCCTCTACAACTCCAAGGAGTCGCTGTCCTACGTGGTGGAGAGCATCGAGAAGAGCCGCGAGTCCAGCGTGGGCCGGCGCGACAACCACTCGGCGCAGCTGCCGCTGACGCTGATTCTGGTGAACAAGCGCGGCGGCGGCGGCGGCGACGGCGGCGGCGGCGGCGAGACGCTGCAGAGCCTGATCCAGCAGGGCCAGCAGATCGCCAGCAAGCTGCAGTGCGTCTTCCTCGACCCGGCCTCGGCCGGCATCGGCTACGGCCGCAACATCAACGAGAAGCAGATCGGCCAAGTGCTCAAGGGGCTGCTGGACGCCAAACGCAACCTCAACCTGGTGGTGGGCTCCACGCCGGGCCTCAAGGAGGCGGCGGCCGACGCCGACCTGCGCGTGGTGATGTGCCTGATGTGCGGCGACGCGGCGGGCGCCGACGAGGTGCTGCTGCCCATCCTGCAGGCGCAGCCGTGCCGGCCGGCGCCGGGCGGAGGAGGAGGAGGAGGAGGCGCCGCGGTGCTGCTGGACGTGGCGGTGGGCTCGCAGCGGCGGCGCGTGGAGCTGTCGGTGCTGTCGTACCACGCGTCCTTCGGGCTGCGCAAGAGCCGCCTGGTGCACGGTTACATCGTCTTCTACGCCGCCAAGCGCCGGGCCTCGCTGGCCACGCTCCGGGCATTCCTGGCCGACGTGCAGGACATCGTGCCCGTGCAGTTGGTGGCCCTGGTGGACGGCTCGGCCGAGCTGCTGGACAACGACGTGAGCCGCGAGCAGGTGGCCGAGGGCGAGGAGATCGCGCAGGAGATCGAGGGGCGCTTCGCCACCGTGGCCTGCGCTCAAGGCCAAGCCAAGCTGGACGCCTTCCAACCCTTCTTCAAGGACGCCTTGGACAAGAAGAACATCGTGGAGGCCACCCACATGTACGACAACGCCGCCGAGGCGTGCGGCGCCGGCGAGGACGTCTTCAACTCGCCGCGCGCCGGCTCGCCGCTCTGCAACTCCAACCCGCCCGACTCCGAGGACGACCCGGAGCCGCCGGCCGGCTACAGCCCCTTCCGCGAGGAGCCGGCCGCGCCGGCGCCGCCGCCGCCGCTGCCCAAAGACCACTCCAAGCTCTCCATGGAGCTGGAAGGCAACGACGCCTTGTCCTTCATCTTCGAGAACAAGCTCAACAACAAAGCCAAGCCGAGGCCTCCCGTCCATTTCGACGGCAAGGGCGAGCTCGCCTACGCGGAGCCGAGCCAGCGGCGCTCCGTGTCCTCGTCCACGTGGCCGCCCCCCGATTGCTTCGACCCTTCCGACTACGCCGAGCCCATGGACGCCGTGGCCAAGCCCAGGAGCGAGGAGGAGAACATTTACTCCGTGCCCCACGACAGCACCCAGGGCAAGATCATCACCGTGCGCAACATCAACAAGGCGGCCTCCAACGGCAGCGGCAACGGCTCCGACAGCGAGATGGACACGGGCTCGCTGGAGCGCGGCGGCCGCAAGGCGCCGCCCGCGGCCAAACCGCGCCTTTACCGCGCCCGCTGCGCCCGCCTGGGCCGATTCGCCGCGCTCCGGCCCGGCCTGGGCGTGGGCAGCGACGACGAGCTGGGCTCGACGGGCAGGAAAAAGGACGAGGAGCCGGCGGGGCAAGGGGGGTACAAAGGGGACAAAGACGGAGCCGCCTACGAGGCGGCCGACGGCGAGGACCCGCGCAGGAGGAACATCCTGAGGAGCCTGCGCAGGACCACC